TTATGCTTTTAACAATTGAAGAGTAGCAGGAGAATAGAAGTTATTATTCTACGTAGCGTATTTTATTTGCACGGTATAGGTATGCAACGATATTTGAAAAAATTTTTTTGTGAAATGATCATTTGATCCACGTGACAAAAAATCCGGTGATTTATGGTAGGGTAGTGTACACCACAGCAATAACGAGTTTAAGAGAATTAAGTATGCATTGTTCTATTTTAACTAACTCTAACTCTATTTCATTTTCGTATTCTCTTCTGGGTGAAGCGGATCCAATGGGGGCACTCGGTGGAACTGGTTTAGTGGGTTTCTAATAATTCGATCCAGAAGCTAGTCCGAGAGGAGTGAGTTGCTATTTGACATGTCGGTTAGGAATATTATTCAATGAGGCCAAAGCTTCCCAATCCTTTTTCTCAATATTAATGTTTAAAATTTTTCGTCAAGTCCACCAGTCATGACCGACTTGTCGAGTTTACATGTAATATTAATCAAATTGTAATCTTTATTTTAATTGTGATAAGAAACCAAAAGAAAATAAAAATAAAACGTAAAAAAACCAAGAGAAAAAATTTATTGTAATGCAAATTTATGATATAATTATAACACATTTAAGCTTGCCTATTAAATTCAGCGGACTCTTCTTTGTGTATGATTCTATTATTTATTTATTTATAAAAAATTCTCTGATTTTTAGTAAAATAACAACTTATCTACGTGGATGTGTTATGCTCATAGGAATGACTTGTAATTTAGATAACGCTAATTTTTGCGTCATTGACAAACTTGTTGAGTAATAGTAACATAACAGTGCAGCACCATGTAGTGGCAATCGAGACAACACCTCACAGCATAAGATCGGACAGTCAATCATCATGCCATTTATAAGGCGTGTGCAAACGAGAAGGGCCCTTACGATATCAAACATCGAAGTCATAATCTTTGTGAATTCTGACAATAATAGTTGATTGAGGAAACCATTGTATTCATGTTTTCAAGGAACACTGGATGAGAACCTTGAGGTAGACAATACTCTAACAAGCAAGACTGAGATAAGATCCAGTAGATTTTTACAGTCCTAAAGTCCAAACCGTTACATAATTGTTTATTCTTAGAGCTTACAAGACTTACGAAAGCAGCGAAGACGAATGCTCGCGTTCACAGTTCAAATTGTAGCTATTTCTCTTGTTAAAAAATGTGATCTGCATGTCACTTGATAAGTAAGATCTTCAGCAAACATCCAAATTACTTGCTACTAGATCTTTTCCACAATGCCGCAGTATTCTTACAACTCAAACCGTCTAAAGGTTCAATTAAAATTGACCATTAACAGACTCAAGCTATCACAACAGAAAAAGAACAGCCTTAATAAGCAGGCGAGGAAGGAGATAGCGACTCTATTAGAGAATGGAAAAGAGGAGAGTGCTAGGATTAGAGTACGTTCGAAAATACAAAGAGAATTTGGAATGTACTATAATATAATTGTATTCGAAGACTAAGTTTTCGATATTTTCATGGGCCTAGGTTGAGGGTATAATTCGAGAAGATCTTTACATCGAAGCGATGGAGCTTCTCGAGCTTTATTGTGAACTTCTTTTGGCTCGCTTCGGGTTGATCGATCAGAACAGGTAAATCACAAACTTGTCTGAATCAAGAAATGTGGGCAACTTTATTATCTAACAGAATGCTACATCAAACACGTTACAGTCGTACTTGTGATTCAGCTATAATTGAAGCTGTCAGCACTTTGATATACGCCGCACCGAGAATGGAGATTGTTGAATTGCAACGTGTATGTCGAACTGTTGTTTATTACAACGAAAACGTTTTCTAAAAGTCTTTGTAATTAGGTTCGAGAACAACTAATTACTCGATTTGGTAAAGAATTCCTTGAGAACATCACCCAGAATAAATTACACGTGAACGATAGGGTATGACTTCAATTGAACTTGGGAGTTCGGCTGTTTTCTGTAATGGGGTATAACGGATATTTTTACGACCATTGTGTATCTTACAGGTGGTAGTAAAATTGGAGGCTAAAGCGCCGGCTTTGTATCTCGTAAACAGATACCTTGAAGAGATTGCGAAATCTTACAATGTCGATTGGGTGCTTGATACGGAATCTGAATCACTCATTACGGTATGCCACGTTTTCTTTTGTATGGTCCGCCATAAGCGTATATACGCTTGCTAATCAAACCGATTATCTGCTATTATGTAATGCAAAGTATGATCTGTTAATTGGAGGAAATAACTCATCCAACGGAAACGCCGAGTCGGAAACATATACAGCACTTCCAGATCTCCAAGCCTTTTTCATGGACAGCCTCAAAACGAATGGTTCTTCTATCTCGAAACCGGTATGACTCATTCTTATAATCAATGGAAAAGTGTTTACTTTTGGTCATACTTCTTATGATATCCCTCTTTTCGTTGATTCGTCAAATGCAGCTTGACTCTTCGCCTAAACCTTCCGTATCTCTTCCAGAGACACTTTCCAAACGCACTGAATCCAATCCCATTGAAAAGTCGTTATCAGATATTTTCTCTGACGACCCTAACACAAAACCACCCCCTTATGAAGAACACAAAAATGATGTAGGAATTAAAACAGAGAAAGCAGAGGATACTGAGACTAAGAAGAATGGCAAAATCGGAGATGACTTACCCGAGACTAAGAAGAATGGTAAAACCGGAGATGATTTACCTGAAACTAAGAAGAATGGTAAAACTGGAGATGATTTACCTGATTTTGATGAGTTGGCACGGAGATTTGAAGCATTGAAGAGGAAATAGAGAAACATTAGAAAAGGATATGTTTCCATAGAGTGGCACTTGAGACGTGAAACTAAAAACCTGGAGTTTGTCTGTAAACGTATAAATAGTCATCCAAGTGTATTATTTATTTATAAACTGCTTTAAGCTATGCTCATGTTTTTCTACACTGAGATCGTGGGGAGGGAGGGAGGAAAAAAGGCTTGATCGAATTTGAAATTACGTTGCGAACTTTATAATTCTAAAGGCTCGCCTACTCTCGTAAATCTAGAATGATGGATACATGCGTCATCTTATGCTGGTAACATTTGCTGCTCTTCTTCTTTTTGAGGCTTCTTATGGACTATTATAACGTTTATATAAGTTAGATTCATGAGTGAAGCGTCGAGTAAACGATTATAACAACAACAACAGCAGCAGCAACAACAACAATGATAAAACCAAACCTTTGGTGGAAGCAGGCAGTTCGACATCTGGTACTTTGGGCATGCTCGCGTTAATCTCCGATGCGATCTTGAAATAACGATCCGATGTTAGATCAAGAATAAAAGCTCTGAACAGCAACATTACAAGAATCAAACCTGTTCTTCCACTATTGCTTCTAACTCCTGCATGATCTCTTCTTCATCTTCATCAGTAATCTTTCCGCTTAACAATTCTTCGATTTCCTAAGGAGAGGACAACCGATAAGCTCGGGTGGGACAAACCCGAACCATCATAAATAATGTATATACTTACATTCTGATAAGCAATTGCGTCCGCTGTGTCTTCCATTAACTGTTCTACTTGTTCCAATGATATCTCATTATGGATTTCTTTCAAGATCTCATTACCACGAGCCAATCCAGCCAAAACTTCTTTCTCTACTAGAGCGAACTCTATGGATTGTGTCTAAAGCAAATAAAATAATAAACATTCGAGGACATTTATATCAAAATCGCATAGATCGGTAATCTTTACCAACTCTTCAAGGTTGATTAACTGTGTTTCTGTCTTTTCGAGGAGTGCTTCTTGATACTTTTTCTTCTTGAGAGCTAATAATGCCTTGCGCTTATTCCCTGTCAGGAGAGCCTCTTTGGCTATCTCCTTTTCTCTAAGGGCAACGATTTGGATCTAAAATGTATCACGTTTATTAATAGATAACTCATTGTTCGACGGTTCTTTCAATGATTTTTCCTTATAGAACACCTTTTTGCTGTATTGCTTGAGCCTATCTCTTTGCACTTTGAGATCAAGAATAGCCCTATCTTGTGGCGTAATTTTGCTTCCATTTGCCCCCATTTCTTAGTATTATGCTCTTTTCGTAAATGCAAGTTCTATAAAGTAAAGTAATATATATTAATTCATATTACAATTACTTTTTTATCACGGGATCAGTTTTTTGATGACGAAGTTGATGACGTGACCCCGGTGGTGTGACAATAATAATAACAACAACCCGTTCTAGGTTGACCCGTTTCGGGATTGTCACATTAGAATAATCTCTTGCACCAATAAAGTGCACAATTTATGTGATAACGTCGAAAAAATTTGTGACAATCTTGAAACGTTTTCAAATCCCAGAATGGGTCACAGAGTTGTGCTAATTCTAAGGTCAGCGATCGAACACTCCCGCGATCGTTGACTCGATGTACGCACATGACATTTTTTAAGTGAGCTAAAAACATGGCCGAAGAATTAGTCAATACTAATGTAACTGATAATTTCTAAGCTTTGAGATAGTTAGTAGCACGTGTCTTATGTCCAAATATTAATATATAAACTCGATTGTAATAAACTATTGTTTGCAATAACAATGTCAGGTCATTGGACAGACTGCAACAAATTGAACATGAAATAAATGACTGATGTAGCTGGAAAATCTATAACGATATTTCGACATACTGTATAATGTATAATAGTAATCGTAGTTTTCCACAGCGTGTTAGCATTAAAACTATGGCTGATATTCTATATTAATTATGAAATTAAATTTACATTCGATCCACCATTGCTATTATTATAGAACTACAGCATAATCAAAAGTATTTTAAAGAAAAAGCAGGAGAAAAATCGCTCTATACATTTTTAAAATCAATAATTTTAAGCTCTCCAGAAACATCTGGATAAAGTACTTATTATTATGAAATTTATCAAAAGAACAGAAAATAATAAATACAAGGGGAAAAATGCAGGGTAATTATTACTATGTGTTATCATTACAGAACAAAGTCTGGGCAAAAAAAGCAACAAAAACAATTTTATTATCTCTTTTTATGTAAAATTGGGGCATGCCGCAACAAAGCAAACATTCTATAATAATAAATAAGATGCGGCTGTAAAATTGTCCAGTGTGACTGATAATGTTTGAAAAGTAATAATGGTGCTCATCATAACTTATGGACTTGTTAATTTTAATGCTCACTTTATTATACCAGAATGTGATAAATATAAGCCATAACAGAATTAATATAGAGCTATCTCTATATATAAAAAAATAAATATAAAACTAATTTACATTAAATCCACCATGGAACCCAAGAATTACAGCACTATTAGAAGTATTCTAAAAAAAAGAACAAAGGAGAAAAAATTGCGCCTTAAGTTTTTAAAATCAATGATACTCAAACTCTCCAGGCATATCTAGATCAAGAAAAAAATTACGTATGAGATTTATCAAGAAGAAAGGAAAATTATTACTAATAAACGAGCATTAACACTACATGATAATGATGAACCAAGAAAGAAACGAAAATTAGAAGAAACGTAAGGGAAATAAATTTAACGTAAAAGCTTTTCACCAACGCCTCCACTGACCGAGCAACCTGTCAAAGAAAGATCGATAAGACTGCTCGATCATACTTCGCCACTTTGACACAATTGCAATCAAAAAGTCAAACATGCAAAATAATTCAATTTTCGTAAGTATAAATTTTATTATTTCGATTATTGAATGCGTGCGCGCTCTTGAAAATATGAATAATGCTTTTAGACTTGTGGACAGTGATGCAACACTAATGAAGGTCCTCCAGTTGTTTGCAGCATCATTTCAATGTGGATTCGTTGATGCTGGCCACCATGGTGAACTTGTTGTAAGGCTTATCCTAATCATTGCGTGGCAAAAATGCATACAAAAGAGTCAGGGTAAAGATGGACTTTATACAAGAGAATTATCTCTCAAGGAATTTTTGTCCACCTTGTTTGGTGATCTTGATTCCTTAGTCACAATTAATGATTCTTGGAATGGGTTGAAACTAGATAGACTATTACTGGAATCCATTCTATGCTTTACCCATTTCATACAGGTAGAATACACTCCAGACAGTGGAGTGGTATATTTGGAGTCTGTACAGACTCCAAATATACCACTTATTTCGGACTATAACTATCCCATCTATGACGTGCGATTTACATTTGCCTCGTCATTCGAGTGACGTGCGTTTTGCGTTTGCCTCGTCAAAGATGGG